TTTAATATATACCTACACCGTGTAACTTTCAAGTTAATATTAACACAAATGTCAATCTGTTTATACCACGAATGGCATAAAATGTGCGTGTAATATCTTCGTATAATAGTTTTTTTTACATTTATGTGTATTATATAAATACAAGTTTATAAGGACCAAAAGCAAATCTGCATAACATCAAAAATTCCAATAATATTGTTTTTTATTAATATATAAACACGCATTCGGTTTTTGAGGGAGTTAGATGCAGGAAATTCATAGAACTCTAAACCAATTTGAAATTTAAATATATTTAATACTTATATTTAAAGTAGCTTGTCACGTGGTCCATCAATAGGTGCTTGTTGATTGTAGCGTTATAACAAAATTATTTTCAAAAATGAATTTACTTTTTCGATATCGAGTAAAAAACATAAAACTAATCTATTTTCAAACGATTATAATTTTTTCGCATTGATGATATCGAATAAATAAAAACGATATTGCACGATCGAAGTTTATTTCGTTTTCTACGTATCATAACATTATTACAAGGTTCCTTTGGCGACTATTTGGATTCTCTACTAGGACTAGGCAATGTACATAGTTTCCAATATGAGGTTCTTACCGCTCAAAGCTGTTTTATTTTTTTACAAACAACTTATAGACGTGTTGCGTAAGATATCCAATATAACTGATCAGCGTACTGTGGTGGATACGTCGTATCGGTGACCAGATCCAAATTGCTGCTTTGCATCTCAAATAAAGCAGCATTTATACAAACACTATATTGAATTGTAAAAATGATAACATCGTTAAAAGTTTTTTTCAGATTAAAATGAATTAATATTATTTTAATTTGGTTAGATCACATGATACATACACCAATCAATAAATTGATAGGCAAATCGCATTCATGAGGAATCATGTATATGATACAGCCAATAAACGACTAAACGAGTATGTTTAATAAAGCTATATTAGAAATATTGCAATGAGAGTATCTATACATTGCGAGCTCCTCTGATTATGGTCGACAACCGGTAAAATACATTTTTGATTTCATCCAAAATTCAAATTCTGAAGTTACGTGTTAGTGGAGAACAATATGTATATTATATTCAATCGTATTTTGTCTTACACCCATCAGTGAAATTATAATAAAAAATAAATGCTATTTCTTCTTAAAAACAAAAATATTTAAACTAATCTATAGGTATAAGAAGTACCCAGTTAAGTACCCATATAATGTATACATCTATAGCACAAACCAATAGTTCACAAAGCGCAATTAGATTATAATTATACTCTAAAAAAACCTAAGAGTGCTAAAATAAAAAAGCACGGGAGGCTTCGTTACATAAACACTCAATACATCAATTATTGTTCTTACTTCATAAAAAAAGATAAAATCAAATGTCTATAGAATTGAAGAGTATATAATTTTTTAACAGATTCTCGTAATAACTAAACAAAATATATATTATTTTTCAACATCTAACTCGTAGTCGTACATCGGTGATGATCGAATAATAAAATAAAATACAAATATAATAAACTATTTATTTTTTTCTTATTTTTCCTATGCTTTGTAATATGTTATTTGCAGGATCAACAAGGCATCTTACTGGCGATAAACACCTATACACGCCAGCTCATGTTAACTTTACCTATCCTGCTAATCACTTAAAACCGTGAAAACTGTATTTGTGTTCATTATTTGAAAATTTGTAGTACACAATTAGTTCACATTTTAGAACAATATGCGTATTAAGCGATACTATTGTCTAATTATAGACTTGGCTAACTTCAGAAAGAAGTCACTAGGTTTAGGTCAATAAAATACATATATGAGTGACTTAAACTACCCACTGATAACTACGTTGGTTTTAATTAAGTCGACTTGACATATTATGAATTATGCTAATAATATGGGTACGAGTATATAAGGTAATAACCTATTTCATTTCAATGACACTCGCACCTTAAAATTAATAATACAAAATATATAACGAAAAATACGACACTTTTTGCGCGTGTGTGTGTGGGTGGGTGGTACTCAACATAATTATATCGTATGCAATATGCATATACTTTATATTATATATATATATGTATTAGGGGCGGTGTCGTCGTCGGGACCGTGGAGCGAAAATCCACTCTCGATTTTTCCTTTCTTCTGCGACCCTTATATTATGACCGTAGCAGTTTTCCCCTCAACCCTTCGTGTCTTCCATTTATATAAAGCTCACATTTTCCCCGAAACTCGTCTCCACATCCGCATCGCGTCCCGCAATTTGCATAATGCTCTATGAATAATAATTCAATTACACGTCAGCCGGCATTCTCTCTTTGCATTCGCATTGCCGTCCCTGTTTCGTTTTAATTTCAATTTTTTTTTTTTACGGTATTCTGTTTAATTTGGTCGATACCGCAGCACAGCACCAGTCGGTCCCCAGAAATTCGGTTTGTACTTCTGATATAAATTAACGGGGAAAAACAAAACAAAAAAAAACCTATGGAAAAAGGATCCACTCAATTTTGCCAGAAGTGCCTCAAGATAACCCGGTCGGTTTTGTTTCGTAGCCAACAAAAAGGGTTTTTTATCTGTCTCCCTTTCTCTTTCGCTCTCTTTTTCCACTCGTGCGTTTTTTCGCTTCCCTGAAGCCTTTTTTGGTTTCATATAATCATGTACCCTTTTTTATTTTACTTTTTTTTTATTTGACTGTACCACCCCCGCGAGCCAATGAGGGTCGGCGAAGTGCCTTGGAGGGGTTTAGAAAAATCGAAGACACGGACCCGGCAGATAACGACATTCATTAATTCCCAGCAGGGCTTCAGACCGCATCGCCAAACGTAAATCGACTCTGCACAACTTTGGCCATTACGTGTGGAATTCTGGTGGGCTCGAGGAGTGGAGAAGGGTTATTATATATATATAAATGTAGTTTTTTTTGTTGGTCGGGTCTTCTCGTCCCCCGCGTCTCGTATTTATCAGGCAACATTTTAATGTTTATTTTTTTTTTAACTCCCCCGCGACATAAATCTCGAAACTCAAAAGAGTAAAAAAAAACTACTAAACTTTGTTCATTTCTCATATGTAAACACGACTGACTGACCACATTACCTCGCGTTTAAAAATGTAACTTCGAATCAAACACAATATTACATATTTCTTGTACATTATGCGACCGCTTAATTCCAAACCAAAAAACTGTACATACAATAATTATGCTGAATAAGATATCAAAAATAATACACTAATATATCATATACATACAGGGAAAAAGATTGTAGGTTTGTCAAAAAGTTTCAACTTGTTTTTCACGGATCATTCGAAATCATCTTAAAGCAACAATGTTGAAACATTTATAATTTATACTATTTTTTATGGTTATCATAATCTTAAGTTTTCAATTTTTAATAACAGCATACATTTTTGACTTTATACTCTGAAGAAGAGTATTTTTATTAATATTTTTTAAGTATAAAAATCGAACTTCGAACGATAAGTTAATTATAGTTACCTATAACCTAAAATGTTTTAAGTGACGGACATAGAGTTGCAGGCCTTAGTATACAACAAGATGTTGGTCCACTATCTTATGCAAATACAAATGTATGCTGTCTTTCAAAAAGTATGACCATTACCATTTTTGAATACAATTAATGTCTCACTATTATAGTATCAGCTCGTATAATTTACGATTATGATAAATGAACATCACACGATGATGTAATACTGTACTAACAATTGTTTTTCGAACCATAATGTATTATTTACTATGATAATTCATTGTACTAAAAAATTGTAATATAATCCATTGAAACCTAGTTTGATATATGTAATTATTAATTGTTATTAAATAATAAATGCGTTTCGGCGTAGTTTGTATCCATCATTATTACTCCTTGGTAGGTACTGCGTGTTTTAATGTGTTTCATAAAAAGAAATGATTAAAATTCACATAATATAACATTACCAATAATACTATATTGTAAGTTATCGGTAATTTATAACAAATCGGCTTAGTCCAGTTCATCATCGTATATTAAATTAAAAACAAACGATTCGGCGACACAGTCAAATCGCCATATATATATAATGTCGAGACTTATTCTGTTGATTATCCTGGGGCAAGGTAAACACTGCAGAAATATAAGGCGATAACGGGACTTAACCGCCAAAAGTCCCTCGATAAATAATTCCACAGGATTTTCGTCGAACATTATACTGACCATGCGGTGCGATCATTAATACGTATACGGCGGCGTGTTTAGTTTGTTTTTTTTTTTTGCTTATAATTCTTTTTTTTCAATAGGGGTGGAAGGGAGGGAGGCTTACAAAACGAACAGCACGCACCGTACCTATACGTGCAATTGTGGTGCTGATAAATATTAATCATTTCATCGTACCTACATGTAAATTACTCGATTAACATCTCACGCGTGTATATTATGACTACTGCTGCAACGTGTTGTTGCGCGCCGGAAAAAAAAAATAGCACGCAGGATGATGTCTAGGGCGAAAAATATAAAATGTAAAACACAACTCGCTTTTAAAACAAAACAAAAAAATGTTGGTAATTTTATATTTATTTTTCATATTATACGCCACGACCAACAATATAGCGGAGCGTTTTGGATAACAAGTTTTATCGTTTTGGTGAAATTCATGAGACATCGTCGTATACATGTAGGTACCCACCACCCGTTGTGTTTACGTGATTCTTGTGTTGATAAATGTGTTTGTTATCATAAAAATATATATACTTATATAATCATATAATAAATGTATATAAATATATTAAAACAAAAAATAAAAAGAATCAGAATTAAATATTCTATATAATTTTCTAAATATACAATTCCATAGTTTATACCGACGTATCATATTAATCAAATTAACTTTGTATAAAATATGGATAACTAATAGACTTAGCCGCTGAAGTATTAGATCAATAAAAATATACCCATATTTAATCTAAATATTATTGCATAGTGAAATTTTTGTGTTACAGGTTTTAAAAATTGTATACTCCTCAATATCGATCATTCGTATTCCGTGAGTGGGATTTAGGCGCAGCAAAACAACAATATAAGTATGAACGTAATATTATAATTACACAATAAACATATATATACACACGATGTCTATGTGATTTATTTTAAGTTTATTTTTCTATTATATCTGCCGTTAAAAAATGTAAATATATTTATAATACTACCTATGTGAAATTATTCAAAAGAAAGTTGGGAATACTCTACTACGAGACATTACTATACAGCCGTTAACAAAAATATTACATATTTTATAAGTTTGTATTTTTATTATAAGTTTTAAACTGCACGCAGTTTTAAGAATAACATTTAAGCGCATCAATTGTTGTACCTAATGACTATTTAATTTGATTTTTATTGTAAGAATCTGAAATTTCTGTATCACTAAAACGGTGTAAATAATATTAAAATATTTCTAATTGTATTAAATATTAGGTTAATTTATAATAAGTCTTAGTGACCGTCGAATTGTACACGCACATATTATTGTAATAAGGTAATATGTTTAATTTTTCATAACAGTAAAAATTTCATAGTTTTAGTACTATATAAATAATTGTAATTCTATTGGTACCTTTAAACTGTTGTTTTAAAACTATTTACTGTATATATTATAATAAAATAATACTATCGTTTCTTGTGCCAAAGAGCACATAATATGTATTTAGTTTTTTTTAGTTTAAGATCTGAAAGAAGCTGATTGCTTCTTCTAAGATTGAACTTTGACACTGTAATGCTTATCTCAAATTGAGTATTAAATTATAAAATAAATATAATATTAATTGTCCTATTCAGATGCTCATCTCGCGAAGAGACACAATCTCCCTACACTTTCAAAAACTAAACATTGCATATCGAGTTTAATCCATTCCGAAATTATTTTTTTCGCTAAATATTACTCCAGCACGTATAGTATAAACTTAAATTATTTTCAAGTATATATAATACTATGCAGGAAGGTACACAAATTAATTCAAAATATATTGATCCTAATCTTATAGTGTTAATGGTCAATATCAGAACTAACAATTTTACCTTAAAATACTTGATAATATTCATAATCGTCGAAGCATTAAATGACCGATGGAACGTCGATAAATTTAACTTCTGTAAGTACAGTAAAACGTCATAAAGACTAAATCTCTTGGAATGGTCCAATTTGTCGGTTTGAACAGTGTTTCCGCCTTATAGAATTATATTTCGTCTTCGAGAAGTTTTATTGCGTATTCCAATGTGTTCAAAACATAATAATTAGGAAAAAAGAAAAACATCGGAATAATTAATTCCAGATCACATTACATGACATATTGTTTTCTAATAATAATTTAAAAAAAAACAATTTACATTATTCTAATATTATGTCTTGAACTTCGTCTAAACAAAGTCAACAAATAAAAATATAATTTTTTTTACTTTGAACAGAACGCATCGTGAAGAACTGAAGACATTCGAATAGCGCATAAAATATTCAAATCGTTTAACGTTAAACATTTTTCGTTGGTCAATAGCTGGTGGGCTGCACTATGGAGTCCCCGATTTTATAAAATCGTTAAATAAAAAACAAATTATAATGATAATATGTGCCTATTGTATAACGCGTGTGTGGAAACAACCGCCGTCGGTTATAATATTATAATACAATCTTGGTCGTTAAACGCGTGGGCCCGGCTTGCTCACACCAGACGCTGATTCATGTACATGGATGGGCATATAGGTATCGTAGAAGTACCTACATACATATATATATATTATATATATATACACTATATGTATATGATATTTAAGCGGGAAATCCGTTATACGTGCGGAGCGCCGCTAAAGGTCTCGGAGAACCACGCCGGTCCCCCTTTGGACGGTTGCAAAATCTCCGTGAAATTTCCATACGGACACAACGATGAGAATGCGCGCCAAAAGACGAGGTCCGTCGCCCGGTTAATAGGGGGTGGTTGGCTCGGACGGGGTGAATTCCGACGCTCGCATAATCACAATAATGTGCATCGTGTACCGACCGTCCGTGCATATATATATAATAATAAATTATAATTTGCGCAAGTGTGGCGGGTGTATGCGATCGTGTGTGGGAAGAAGACACACGTTCGCGCGGGAGGGTACACCCGGACAATGCGGACGGCGCACCGTGGGAGTCGTCGGGGCGTTCGCGGACCGGGCGAACCGGTCTCGGACCTCGTCCGCAGCATCCCGCCGAAAGGTAACAAACATTTCGCACGGTGAGAGACTATAAACATTATTGCCCACACACACACACACACACACACACACACACACACATTTTGTACGCGTCGTGTATGTGTGTGTATACATATTATATTGTAGACGTATATAGGTCGAACGCTCGCTCCAGCACGGTACACCCCCTATTATATACATAATATATATATAGCCGACCGAGGGTAACATAATAATGTATATTGTAATATATAAATGTTATGTGTCCGCGAAGACGGCGACGGTTATTGTATAATTTTCGAGGCCCTATATAAGCCGTCGGGACGGTATGTTTCCGTTTTTGTGTATCCATGTCGATACCATTCCGACGACGTCTACTGCAGCAGGAGCAGCAGGAGCAGCAGGAGCAGCGGCATCGATGGAACTGATGGAAGTTATATTTGACTGCCACCTCGCGATCGCACGAGTTTTATATCATATAGGTAAGTCCTGTTTCAAGTAATACATAATATCATATAGACACGCGTTTCTCGTCGGTCTTATGGTATGATAATATGTAGTATTATATTATTATATGTAGGTGGGTACGCGAAAAACTCTGAAAAATTAAAAAGGTATCGTATTTTAGGTGCGTAGGTTTAGCGTGTATATTGGTCGCACGACAATATGATGAGAAATTTTATGAAATTTCAAAAATATTCTTGTGATTTTCCTGTACAAGAATAAAAATATATATTACTCAATAGAATATAGCATACATACGTATATCATAATAGCCATATAGCGACTAACGTCTTAATTAAACTCGGAGAAATAAATTACTTCTTTTGGTTAGCAATCGTGTCCGATATTGTTTCTTAGAGAACCTCTAATATATGTAGTTATCTTTTCTTTCTTATTCAATGGGTTTGTATCTCGTCATTTATTTCAAGTCCATAGTACATAATATAAAAATCAATTATTACAAGATACCTTATCACACATAATTCCTTGTGTACTCTATTAGAAATCAAAGTAAGTGAGTGATTATTATTTTTTAATAAACATATAAGTTGTTTAGTTATATTGTATACCCACTTTGCATTGTGCAGGTCGTTATAGTTTATTGGATAGATATTTAATTGTAACTTAAAAATGATATTTTTACTACTTTCTACTACTTAAGAAGTATGTAGAAATATTTTTATGTTTTTTTGTAATGTATAGCTATTTAAAAGTATCTATTTAAATTGATAAGTTAAAAAAATTAACTTGAACAAGGAATGCAATGTTCATATTTTACAATAACTTAATTACAAGTAGGTAACTTAAGTCACACCTATGTATTTTGAAAATAAATTAAAACTTTAAAACTCATATTCATCCTCACTTATTAAAATAATGATAGATGCACTTTAATATATTATATTTCAGTGTGTATGTAGTATATAATATAATAATAAATGAATTTTAAAAAGGGTGTTTCGGGATTTTTAATTAGTATACGGATATTTATGGAAACTTCATTATATACTAGCCACTAGGTATCTATCTACTAACCCCCATTATATTAATCATTCAGTGAATATTCATGATTATTATTTTGACACTTTTCTTACAAACATTAATTTGAAATATGGATTAAAATAAAGTCTAAATAAAGTAATCGTATTTTTGCATAATATTTAACCATGTGTCCATGTATAATAAACACGAGTCGACGATTGCAAAAACGATTCGAGTAGTATTTATTCACAATTTTGGTATACCAAAGTAAAGATAAAAAATAATATTTATATATTATACATAATATATACATTTACAGTTTCATTTTAACTCATCAGTTGCTGCAGAGAGTACAAAATATAAACGACTTTGGTAATTTTTTTTCGTTTTAAATCATGATTTTTATTTTGTTTCTAATATTTCGGAGTCTTCCAAAAGCGTACATATAATTTATGCGTTTAATTATACTTTCTCAGAGCAATAATAACTCTGGTAGAATATGAAACCATCAATTTATATCCATTTATATTTATCTATATTAATAAACATACATACATGAAAACAATGCGAGACTGCGGAAAAACTTTTGTGCGTCATAAAAACTAAAAACTTTGTATGAAAGATCAATACTACCAATATCCTCAGTCGTAAAATCTAAAACGAATTTCAGTTCTTTACAAAATACATTGCATTATATAGAATATAAACCCTAACGTATATCCACTATTCAGTGTATCTAGTACTTATTATTCTCAGACAACTTATACAATTATATTAAATACAGAATATTATTAAATGTATTAAATATTTAAATGTAAATTAATTATAGTATTAATAAATTATACAATGTAATTTCCTACAGTAAGTATATTAATTCAAAAACTACTTTTCTGAATTTGTACATTTATATACAATATAATCGTTTGAAAAAAATAATCATACATCTTTAAACAATAGAAAAAGTGATTCAAATAAAATGTCTTATTCAGTAGATATAATATTGTAGTAAGTACGTGATATTTTTCCCAATACCTCTCTTACACTCTTACAGTGCATTTCCTCGAAAATCACAAAAATTAGAGTTTGAATTTTAAAATCAAAAACGACGGGAGCGGCGAGCGCGCTTTGTGAATTCACTCTACAGTATTTCGATATAGGAGGTAGCAGGCAGCTGCAGTGATGATGTGCTCGGTATATTTTGTATAAATCAATTCTTAAACTAAATTGCTAAACTAAATATAGTAAAAACCGTAGGCCGAACGTCACACAGTCATTGTCAACAATAATAATGTAGGTATGGGTAATTAATAAAATCAACCTTTTCGTGCAACGGGATTACGAATTACTATTCCCGGCGCGCTCAGTGCGCACGTGTGTTTGTGCTGTGTACTGTCGTGCGCACGTGTAATATGTGTAAGCTCAAATTTTTGCAAAGTCGTATAGAGAAGCAGTGTACCTATATATACTGTATATTTGTACCGTAATGACGATAAAACGTGTATAATACCTGTGTTTAGGTATTATATGATGTGCGACGGTGATAATGTATTGGTATAGTGTTCGTGCACACGAGCGCGAAAATATAAGACGATACATGGGTATTTACAGTGAAACCTCTGAATACCGGTCACTCACCTTGAACGCTGACATTTTCATGTTCGTTATATTCGGTGGTATTGGGGTGGTCCGCTACAATATTCAAAGGGTTCAGATATGTATTTATAAAAAGTTTGTTGTTAGAGTCAACCGGCTTCCGGCAAAACGTCCGCTATTGGGAGGTACCTATAAGTTAGAGGAGGTTTCGCAGTATTATATTGCCAGTGAATTTAGTGAGGTGAAATTTAAAGCCTGTAGCGGAGTGTCAAGTGGCGTATTCAAAATTCACAAAAGCTCGGAGCGTGAGCCCCAAAATCACACTTATTATGAGTTATCGGTTTAATGTCGTACCTATAAGT